TTTAAATTTAATTAAAAATAGCACACAGTCAAATATATTAATATACAAGAAATTTATGTTACACAAAAACTAATCTCGTTATACACAAGTAAATCATGAGTTTATAGGCAAGGTCATCCGACCTTACCAAAGGATTTAGTATCAAAACATGTTCAAAGTACTTGATAATATAAATAAATAACCGTAACAGATAAAAAATCATCTTTTTTTATATTGTTAAAAGCTAACACTAAAGATTATATTAGTATTATATATTTTTACAAATATTCAAATTGTAAGTTATATATTATTAATGCCTTTCTTCAATTTTCAATTTTCAAGCAACATTTCAGTTCAGTCATACGATTTTTCATTTTTAAGAAATCATACGTTACCCTCTCCAAAATACAGTATATACTTATATTGTAATGATCGACAATCTGCTTATTTTTTGTTTAATCAGAATTAATTAATTAAAATAGGTAAAAAAAAAAAATAAACAAGTAATTATTATCACTACAAGGAAAATAATAGAACTGAAGGGAAAAAATTTAATGGGATGGGATTAGCAATGTGCATATACTATTACTATCAGTTATTATTATTATTTGTTATTTATCATTTTATTCGAATAGAAACCCTAACCTATTTCCATAGGACCAACAGATTCGAAATACATGTAAAAACGAAATATGACAGTATAATAAGTTAAATAAAAAACGCGCGAATTCAAATTCTTTAGCCTGGTGATTTACAATGTAGATTATGCTACGCTTGCAATATGCGTGACAGGTCTGCTTACAAAAATAGAAAGATTCAGCAATTAGCCAATTTTAGATATAATTCTTCGCATTCCTGCTTTTGATACATACTTACTTCTGCGGTTTTCTGCTTGACAGTTAAATGATGTGTAGGAATATAATAAAACTAATGGTGATGGTTTCTATCACGGAATATTGGATTTATGATTCTTGATTCTTTTCCAATTGGTTTTGGTGGCAAATCTTCCATATTACTTTAATATTTTCAAGTGCTGAAAATTGTTTATTGACGGTTATATTTTTGCAGTGTGACTGTCACTTTTTAAATTTTCAAGTACTCCAAATGTATTATCTAAACCAATATGTGCGAAAATGATAATAACAAAATGAGATGTATAATACAAAGAAATGAGAATTAAACTTTACTTACTCTCAAATTTTCAAGTTTATAATATAATGTTTATCCCAATTGATTGGTAATTGGAAAGTTCCAATAAGAAACATTCAATATACTTTAAAAGCAAGTAAATCCATGCCCTATACTTGAACATCTAAACCTATAGACAAACAAGATATTTATTTAATAAGTGCAAAAATCAAACTGAAAATTTTAACTTACCATGACAGTGTAGAAACCAATAATCATGTATTTTTCTGCAAAAATATCCGCAAATTCATCACCCATAATATTATCCGGAGAACTTGCAGATGCGTTTTTTTTTTATTTTTTATTTTTGTTTCCAGAAACTTTATGAAATATTAATAACATCATTAACACTAATATTAACATTGGATATTTGCAATTTGCAATCCATGAAAATATTATAATACCGATTCTCCAATAAAAAAAATTTTTTATAACAATTTATTCCGTAAATTTTGATAAATACAACAACAATAATCCATTCATTTATAATTTTTGACCTATTCTGTTATAGTATTATGTGTGGCTATTTTTTTTTTTTTAATTGTTCTGTTTTTTTAATAATATTTATTAATTTGAATTATACTTAAATTAATTAGTGAAAACAAATCTACGGATTTTTTTAAATTATTTTTTTAACAAAGAATTCAGAATTTTCAGAATTTCGTTTTTATTGGCTTGTATAGACAAAATTTGGCTAATTATTTTAGTCTGTTTTTTTTAAAACACAAGTCAAGCTCAATATTTGAATTTAATTGAATTATTCATTTTATTCGTTTTTATTCAAATAAAAAAAATTAATTTGAAAAATGCTTTTAATATGGAGTGTATGTCACAATGAATTCAAGCAATGATCATGACAGAGGATGGCCTGGTTGAGCACTAACAGCTTAGTGCGAAATATAGGGTTTGGCCAATTTGAAATACTATTCATCCTTTTATAATAATTTTTGAAAATATTTTTAATATTAAGCAAAAAAGTGCATGGAAACTTCAGTAAGGGTTTGTATATGTACTAATATTCATATTAGGTTCAATGGACAATCATCGACTGCTTCTTCTCTTGGATAATTCCTTCATTAAGGAATTAGAATGCATGGTTTTTTCTTTAATTATAATGATTATAATGATTATAGTAATTATATTTGCAGATAATATTATGGGTGATGAATTTGTGGATATTTTTGTGGATGATTTTTTGCAGATGGTTTTTGTGGAAAAATACATGATTATGGTGTAGTTCTATATATCATTAAGAAAAAAAACCAAAATAACAGATAAGAGATTTTAATATTAATAATTATATTGCTAAATTCTGCAGTTGGTAGACATTCAGTATTGTACACTTGCATTCCTGTACTGTATGATCTGCAAATTGGTATTTTGTATTAATTTTTAGGTACAGAATTTATGCATGTGTTGTGTAATCAAAAGTTGATTGGTGGGGTGTTGTGTAGAAATGCAAAAGTGTACAGTACTGAACAGTGTTGAAAATTCAGTGCGGGGAATGCGGGGGTGTATCATTACACCAATCAAATTTTTAATTTTTGGATATAGTTTCTAAATTTGTACTAGTTACACAACGAAATTTCAACACTGGTACTGAATGTCTATATTCTCTAAATTTTGATACTGAAATTCTGGTAATACAAATGTTCACTTTGTTGCAGTATGCACAAGGTATATAGCACAACAATTTTTAATGATAATACCCAACACATTTCTAAGTACAAGCCCAATATAATTTTATAATAGCAGAAATGAAGCGAATTCTTTGAGTTTTATTATGAAACTAGAGTAACGAAATGTTTTTGTAGGCGGGAAATTATTTTGTCAAATCATTGTTAATTTCGTCACATTTGACGAAATGGTAAAATGTGGTAGTAAATTGACGAATGTGATGAAAAGAAGAAAATGCGACAAAAAGGAGATATTATAAACAATTCTAAAAAAAATTTTTTAACAAATTTTTTTAATATTCTTCATTAAAATGTCACACGATCGTCAAAGCTAATCAAGATGAATCAATTTACGAATTTTTTGATAGTAACCATGATACAGAGATTTAGTAAAAGACATCTTTGTTGAAGATGAATTTGAAAGTGAATATAATTCAAAAAATAGTTATTTTCATGATTATTGTGAAGTTAATGAAACTGATAAAAATATTATTTAGGACAAGAATGTTATGATATTGACATTAATAATAGTAATGAAATTGATAACAATTCTGAAAATAATACAATGAAGATGATGATAATAATTCTCAAAAATTAGTTAGAAAAAATACAAACCAGAAGAAACATAATTTATGTAGTTTATCCAAATTTGACTCAGACAAAAGATTAAAAAATTAAAATTTTCTCTTAAAATAATATTTTAAATGTAAAATTTAAATAAAAATTATTATTGCAGATTATTACAAAAATTTTCTTTGTGAAAATGGTTATATTTTTTCTCTCTCACTGTTTTTTTTTTTTCTCGTCAAGTTTTTCTTTTCGTCAATATGTAAATTACATTTCGTCATGTAATAGTAACATTTCAGTTTACTAAATTCGATCATTTCGTCGGGTATCATTATGCACCCTTTCCTTCTTAAAAGGATCACGAATTAAAATCATGATTTTTAGCAAACTACATTAATTTATCCAATTATTCTGAATTTTATCACAATATCATAAAACTTTTGGCTATTTTTCATTCAATTCCTTTTTTAAGTAATTGAAACACATTATTTAATGAGACATTAAATATGTTTATGATGATTGGATTGATTAGTGGCGTGCTAGAGTTTCAGAATATTAACAAAATAAAAATGATAAATAAATAAATAAAAATGATAAATAAATAAATAAATAAATAAATAAACATAAATAAATAAATAAATATAGTTCAATCATTTATTTATATTACAGTGTACTTTTTGGGCAATTGATTCTTGCGGCCGACTTATCGAGTTTACACATGTATTTATTAATAATAATAATATTAATATTAAGAAAATTTTCCGAAAAGTTTCAAAATTTCAAACCGGTTTTTTAAGCCTTTTTACTATATAAAAGAAGCGACAGTAACCCATTTATATATTGATATTGGTATACACCTGTAAACAGTCATTTATTTTGTATTATCAAAGTACTTTAAACAATTGATTGCTGCGTCCGACTTATCGAGTTTACATGTGTAATGAATGAATTAATTCGTGCTCAAGCCATTTAAATCACTTGAGCATGGATAAATAAAAGAGAAAATTTATCTTCTGGAGAGAATAGTTCACCCACCTGAAACTATGTTAATGGTCCTTGAAAGTTTATTTATTTGTTTATTATTAAAAAACTCTTGTTGTAGCGAACAAAAATTTTGGAACCAATGGGTATGTTTATGTTTTATTAATAAATTTATTTACATGTTGAAAAGGTTATTCATTATCATATTATCATTTATTTCAAAAAGGGTAAATTTTTATTGAATTTCAAATTTTAAAATTTTTCACACGCTGATAAGAAAGAATAGGAATAATAAATAATGTAAATAAATAATGTAAATAATAATGTAAAATAAATAATGTGATGATGCACATATATGTAATGTAATGTTAATTATTAATATAAATAAAAATAAATAAACAATTCCCCGAAAACAATGTACAATAAAATGCAATAAATCAACTTTAAATTCACACACATTTGTATTACCTAAAATGAATGTATTTTAATTAAAGTCAATATTTATATTTATAGTGTCTATGTGTATAATAAAATTATTGTCCCTCAGAGAATCAAAATAATATCGTACTAATCACCATACTAGTGATTTGTACTATCTAAATAATATGTTTATTGGTTAAGTATAATATTGTTATCTTTTTCATCATATTTGCTAAACATGTTAGCAAGTTCTTCAAACATTTCTGTAATTTCTAAATCGTATTGCCAGAGTATATATGTCCTATTAAGCGAGCTTGGGATAATACTATTTAATGCTCTACTAGTATGAAATGCTTCTGGATGCATCCAATGTGTTGACGATGAACTTTGATCTTCATACGTAACATTAGCAGCTGGGTCATCATAAACTCTTTTCATTTCCTGTTTGCCATATTTAATCAGATCAGCCATGGTGGGACGCTTAGATGGATCTTCATCCCAACACTTTTGCATCATTTTTCCATATTCAACTGGCATATTTGGTAGAATTGGTGGCCTAACACCGTCACATATGTCCTGAATCAAATCCATGTCATGTGCCCTGTTATCAAATGGTGGATACCCAGAAAATATTTCCCACATCAACATTCCAACACTGTAAATATCCGAAGCCTTTGTGTTCTTTTGTCTTTTAAATAATTCGGGTGCAATATATGGTACTACGCCATATATCTCATCTGATGACTTACCGCTAATATGTCCACACAGTCCAAAGTCTGTTATATAACAAGCTCCTGATTGTTCCATCAATATATTGCCGCTATGCAAATCACAATGGATGAAATCTTTATCATGAATATCATCAAGGGAATCAAGGATGTTATAAAAAATTCTTACTCTATCTCTTAGATTTAATTTGTGCTTGTTGTTCTTCAGGTACGATCTTAGATTTCCTGAATGCAAATAATTTATCACCATGGCGTAATTACCTGTTCGCGGATTTTTGGTTATGCCGTAGCATTCCGCCATCATTTCGGATTGTATTTTACTGTAACTCAATACCTATAAAATGTGTGATTTGTGTATATGTTAATACATATACATGTATAATGAATATGATATAAATTATACAATATTTACTAACCTCTTCAAAAAATTCATCTGAGAATTTGTTGGAACCATCTAAACATTTTATGACTACCTTCTGTGGTCCAAAGTAAACAACCTCGCCGCTTTTATTATCCCAATCACTGATACATCCACGATTCCATGTGGCAGTATAAATTGAGCTGAAGCCACCTCTTGTTAAATATTCAACATCTTCAAAGGCATTATATGGGATCCATTCTAGGATGTTTCTGGGTAGTGAAGACATTAATTGACATCGTTGTACAAATTCATTAATTATTCTACTCCCAGAGGTCCAACTACCAAACGAATTTTGTAAATAATTTCTGATGCACATTTCGCAATATCTGTCAGAGTATCGTGTCTTTCCGCAATCCTTGCACTCAAACGGCTTCCCGCATTTATAAAGTGCATTATTCAGTTCATAGTTGTATAAAAATTTCTCCTTGCAATACTCTTTTTCTTCTTCGGTAAGTTCTTGATGTTCTGATATTAAAGTTATGAACTCGCCCTTTCTCACTTCTCTGTTTAATGCTACTGCAAAGGCATAGTCATTTAATAGATTATATTGAGCGATTACGAATTTCTTTCTTTCATATGAGTCTACCATGTTTTTTTACGTTATTTCAAAAAAAAAAAAATTTAAAAAAATATATCAATGGATGGTTTATTTATATATTTTATTTGTCACAATGAAAAGGGTATTTGTTACATTTTTTAATTTTAAAAAAAATGGCGCGTATATATTAAATCATCTTTTTCCTTAGAAATTTCACAAACATATGTAGTGCTAAAATAGAAACCATACAATTTCGCAAGATAAAGAACAATTTTTTGTATGCATGTTTAGTGGTGGGAGGATGTGTTATTGGTATTGTTTATGTTTATTCTGCCTTTACATTCTTAAATTGGTGATCAGCGACGCATGCACAAAAAGCTATGTTTTTGTTCCACACTACTACATATGTAATTTTTTGTTTTGCATTTACTCAAGTACAATAATGTTTGTCGCCAAAACTATTTTGAAAAGGAGAAAGTCAAGACTAAAATTAAAAGTTATATATATCTCAAAACTAAATCAAAAGTCAATAGTCAAAACTAGTTTTGACTTACGACGAAACCTTTTGACATTCGTACAGTTGCGAAACTTTCTAGTTTTGGAAACCAATATTAACTTACAATAATAAGAATTCTTTTTTCCTATATATATAATAAATATTCTTAGAGATAAAGAGTTCAACGAGCTTCTCTATTATAAAAATTATGGATTATCAATTAAATTTATTATTAAAAATGTTATTCGTGTGAAACTAATATACATCTTGTTTTTTGTGATGCTGCTGATTAAATCCAAATATCCACAATTTGTTGGAGAAAAGGAGCATCATTATTCTCAGCACATTTTTATAATTTATTACATTTTTCTATATTACCAGCCAAGAACATTTCCTTCAATTTTTGAATTACGTTTAAATCAAGCCTTTTGTCTCCACCTTTTTTCCCAAACATTGTTTTGCTTTTTAAAGCAACCCTTCCACTCAGTAGAGTTTTCATACAATTTTCAATTCCGTACACTATTCTTTTTTGTTCTGTACACTTTTTATTTTTAATTTTTGTACGAAATTTGTGAATTCTGAAAAGTTGATTGGCGGGGGTCAGTCTGTAAGATCTTCGATTCCATATTCTGTTCCATACAGAACATGATTTACTACAGAAGCGCAGATGTACGGAATACGGAACCTGTATAGACTCCGAATCCTCGTGGTTTCAAGCTTTCATATAATAAACTTTTCAAGTCATTATCATCTCATCTAATAATAATGTAATATTTATTGGTTCAAAAAATTCTTTTAGTTGGGATCTTACTACAGGCGTCGTTAATACTGACCATAAACGTAAATGTATTTTTAAATTATCTACAAGTCTACACATGATTAAGGATGCTATTTTTTCATACTAAAATATTATTGTTTATTAATTCGCAATTCGCGATAAACGGAAAAGATCGACATACATTTTAATATATAGTAAAATGCGGGGATAATAAACATAATAAAATTAATTAGTAACAATAATATTGAGCTGATTTTAATTTTTAAAA